GTAGGAGGACAGCAGGACATGTAGAAGGACAGCAGGACACGTAGGAGGACAGCAGGACACATACGAGGACAGCAGGACACGTAGGAGGACAGCAGGACACGTAGGAGGACAGCAGGACAGTGGTGGGATGTGCTGTAGCAGTGACAGCTTCAAGGTGGAGGTGGGAGTGCCTCAAGGATCAGTTTTTAAATGGCGCCTCCTCTAGTGGGTCCACCAGTTTTTCGGTGCTCGGATGGTTTCTGGAGTCCCCCCTCCCCCCCACCGACTCTTTGAGGCAGTTATGGCCAAAGTAGAACCCTGAACGAGGTTTATACGATCGACGATCAGCTTCACACTCTCCCGTTTTGTTGTGACGTGAAGTTGGACCTTGTTTAGGAGCGGGTACTGTCCTGGTCCAGAGTGATGCATCATGGGATGTGCTCTTCAGACTTTTCTCTGCAGCTAACTTGTTCTGCACGCTCCTCCATCTGCTCCGTGTGATGAAATCCTCCCCGTGTTGTGTCACCGCCGCCCTCAGAGAGCACTGTAAGTCCTCTCGTGCTCAGGCGTGCACGTGAAGAGAATAACAGAAGTCCAGCGGAGAGGAGAGCGGCACGCCGGCCTCTAACGACTTGTTTGTTGTTCCATCAAAGCCTCGGCCTGTAACGAGGCGGCCGTGGTTTCATCACACGCAGACGGCAGTGATGAAGAGGAGTGGCAGCTGAGCAGAGTTCAGCTGATGCTCTTTGAAACGGGAGTCACGTTGGTGCCGCTGCCCCGTGGCTGAGGAGGAAACGGCGGCAGCTGATGCTCAGAACTAAAAATAAAACGCTGCCCACGAATCAAACCAAGTCCTTTGGTGTATCTGAAAATTCACGACTGGCAGAGGTTTTTTAATTTTTTTATCTGGCTGGCCTTCATGGCAAGAAGAAGTAGAAGAATCCTTTGGACCCTCATTTGTGGGTTCCCAGGAGCGTCTCACAGTGCAGGTGGAACCACCACTTTAACAGTTTGTGAAGGGAAAAGTTTTGACTTTTATTCTTACGCAGCATCACACAAACTTCATCTTTTACACATTTTACTAAGATGAAGAGTTGATCAATCCATTCATGCTAATTAAGATACTGTAAATTTTACTGAACTACCCAAAGTGTTTGTGGTCAATGTAAACAAAGCTCTTCTTTGAGTTTATGAAATGAGGTTTGTTTGTTTGTTTGTTTGTTTGTTTGTTTCCACCCACTACAAGTTTGAATAAATTACCAAGTTTGAGTTCATCTGTTAGTTTCCTTTGTGTTTTTACAGTTTTGGTCTCTTCGTACCCAGATGATGTGGGTTCAAAGAGTCCTCTTTAAATTGTAAAACGTTTGAAGCCCGCTGCCAGAACCAAGTCCGTGACCCGGTCACTGTTCGTTTCCGGACTCACCTTCATCCTCCGGGACTCGATCCGAGACTTGTAGCAGAACTCGACCAGAGCCACCAGCATGGCCAGCCCCAGCCCACCGATCAGGATGTAGAAGACTCCGGCCACGTTGCTCAGACTGAGCGCGCTCGTTTTGTCCTATCGGCACAGAGGGGCGGAGTCAGGCTCAACCAATCACAGCGCTGACGATCACAACATTGGAAAGCAACTTAACTTTAACTTTAACGACTGTCATTCAAAAACTGTGACACAGAGGCAAATCTGACAAATAATTTAACTCAAAGAAACTTTGAACCAGTCCATGTTTTAATGAACCGTCAGCAAACGGAGGACAGTTTTAAACATTTATCCGTGTATTGTTGTGTTTTCTGTCTGACTTTAAATATGCTGCACTCATTCTGTTGTAGCGTTTCACTTATTTTATAACTACCGGCAGCACATTTGATCAGATATTTAAATGTTTTTCTCCTGTGTTATGAAAAACTATTGATTCTGTTCATAAGTTTGTCGTTTAGCATGTTTGTGTTTCTAAACATGTAAAGCAGAGGGCGTCCGATCCGGCCCAGGAGGGCCACCATCCTGCATGAGTTACCTGTTCCTCTGCTCCAACACCTGGTTCGGTGGTTCACTCATCACCCTTTGATTCAAAGCAGGTGTGTTGGAGCAGAGGGGCATTTAAAACAGGGATGATGATGGCCCTGGAGAACCAGGACACCTGCTCTTAAGGTTTAGTTTCATTGTTTCTAGATGTCTTTACCGTGCATGATGCGACCGGTCCCAGGTGTTTTCGTGCCACGGCAGTGAGTCGTTGAGTGATCGCCATCGTTCGTGTTTTTTACTGATTTTAGAAAACTATCAGATGAAGCGCTGGCTGTATTTGAACGAAACTCAGTATTCGCTGGATGTACTTCTACAACTTTTTGAGTCAACTCCGTTAAAGATGGCGGGCGCAGCTAATCAAGTTTTTCACCATAACTGTCGCTCTGTTTTACAAACGTTGAGCTGAAAGTTGGTGTGGTAGTAGCTGAGAGTCATCCTCAACACACCCTGAGCACTTGTGTTGGTTCAACAACGTTTCTTAGAAAGTGAAAATGTTCTTGAACTAACAGCTTCATCTAAAGAACTCCAACTTTGAACATCTCAGCCAATAATGAACACGTGATTCATTGATTTATTTTAATGAACACACTATTTATTTATCTAATTGATTATTCTTCCTGAGGGTGAAAAGATCCTCCGTTGCCTCAAATCACAGCCTTTGATGATTGTTCTGTTTCATGCAAAGAGAACTCCGTGGGGGGAACTATTCTCTGAAACATTCTTAAACACAAATGTTGTTCGTGTTTCTGTTGAACGTTCACAATAACTGCCTTTCACTCACTGTGTCACTCGCTTTATGTAAAATGGGAGCACTGGGAGGTGAAATGCTTCTAGAAGCTTCTCTAAATTTCCAAAGTGTGGGTCATGCATGATCATCCTCATCATCATCAAACCTGCAGCTCTGAAGAACAAATGTCCTGAACAGGAAGTTTTCTCCAAACTGTCGTGAAGCTCAGAGTCCGAGGTCTTAAAACAAAAACCAGTTTGAAGGAGGTTTCAGTCAAACTGTCTCATCTTTTGAATGACGGACGTAAAAACGTAAAGATTTTAGCATTTAATCCCGAAACAAACCGTTCTCTTCGAGTCTTTGTACGACTGAGAACTAAACGTTTTGATCTTTGTACAACTGTGATTTGTTTTCCATCAGAACTTGTCCTCTGATCGGTTCTGGTTCTGGTTCTAGACTGGACAACCTCAAGTCAAACCAGACCACCGATGCCCCCGTCACTGAGGGGTTTGAATAGTGAATGTTTGTAATGTTGGAGATGAGGGTTTTTCTGGACTGGAATTTAAATAAAATAAAAAAACTAAATGTTTTTGGTGCAAAACTATTGAGTGGATATGAGTTACACTGTGGAGGAGAAGATGGAGGTTGTTGGGGCAGAGCACAATGACAGGTCCTGGAGATCATTGATCATCTCCAGGAGCAGTGGTGGAGCCGGGGGGTGGCCAATGGTGGCCTTGGCCCTATATATACATACATACATATATATATATATATATATATATATATATATATATATATATATATATATATGTATGTATGTGTATAATCATAGTTTCTTCAACTAATGGGGTGATCTAGTTATGTCGACATGGTGGTGGCCATCTTGGATTTCGACGTGGCAACCCAAGTTTTGTAAGGACTCTCTCTCGTGTCTAGATGCAGCCACATACTTAAACAGAAGTTGTTCCCTCCGTTATTCTTCAAGTTATCGCCCTCACGACGTGCACAGATGGACGGAGGTATTTAGTTCGTCCTGCTGGCTCTGCGACGCTGGCCGATCAAAGGTTCAGATGAGGACGTGTCTGCAGTGAAGACACAAGGAGCAGCGAGCGACGGGCTGCTGCAGCTTCAGTCTGACAGCAAGACGTCTTCCGACAGACTGTTGAACGTCTCCCGGTTAGTCACGCTCCGTGACTCAGAGGGTTCAGAGGAAACAGGAGGTACATGACAGATTGCAGACGAACCTCGGCCTGTTCAGGAAGGAAGGCTGCGGCCATTTAAATGTATCTTCACTGGAGACGCTCAGTGAGGCTCTTTACAGAAAGATTAGAATCTCACTTTGATCTGGAGCTTCCCTTCCAGCCCAGATTATATTTGTTGACAGATTAAGTGACTCAACGTCTCATGAATTATTGTTTAATTCTCTGGGCAGTTTTCTGCCACCAGGAGAGGCTTTAAATATTCATCAAATGTTCCCCCAGAGACAGGAGGCTTTGTGCCAGAGAGACACGTGAAAAGTCACTTTTCTGTCCGTCTGTTTCTGAAGAACCAAACGAGATCGGAGGAGAGGAAATCTGACGGGTTTCCTCTGATCCAAAGAGACAAATAAAATCTCTAATCAGCTAAAAAAAAAATCAGCTTCGTCAGAATGAACTGATGCTCGGACATAATCAGACGTCTTGAATATTGTTGATTATAAACTCAGCTGAGCAGCAAAGATCAAACCTGGACACGTTCTGATGGACACGTTCTGATGGACACGTTCTGATGGAC